ACATTTTGGTTTTCGAATATCGCGCAAATAAAAACAATAAAATATTCCAGTCAAATTACTGTAACGAAGAATCTAAAACACAATATTACACGTATATAGGTATGATTGTGAGTTGTTGACCAGTTAGACGAAATAAACGTAATAGGACGTTGTCATCTCTCCATAGGAGTAACAACTGTTTTGGGGCTAGCCTTACACATTCACATACCAAAATTTAACAAAACAAGAGCCGCAGAGCGTCTGGGCTCATCTGGGTCTGTTGCTACGGTTATGAACGTACATTTCAGTCGTGCGTAGTGACACATTTGTTAGGCGCAGTATGCAGTATCGCAGTTGCGTACACATCATTGTTAGGACACGCTCACTATCTCCCCCCATGCGATTTTGGTTTATTTTATTAAATGACTAGCTGGGCTACCGGCGATGCCGGATTTTTTGGGGTTACTGCTTTTCTTGCTATTTCATGCGTTTGTTGCTATTGCTTGCGTTTCGGCATTTCATGCGATTGCCTGATTTTGAGCCTGACTATAGTTGAGCGCTGTTTGCTGTTCTAGGATCGTCTTGACTTTTCTGCTGCAGTGTATAGTCGAGCGCTAGGATTGCTGTTATTGTTAACTTTTCTGCTGTGCTAGTATTTTTTTGGGAAATCTGGGCCAAATCCTATTTGACAACCCCAGGTTTAAAAACCCTAACCCTAACCCTAACCAAACTCACGACATGGGTCAAACTCCACGACAGATGGCGCTCTCGCTCTGGCTCAATTCTACCACTGCCACAAGCTGATTTCCGTAAGAATTTCTTATGCTTTTTTACTATAAGTTTTACAGCGACCCCGTTACTCCTGTCCTATGTAATACGGTGTGCTACTTATAAAGCTGCAAAGATATTAAAAATCCACCCATTATTTTATGAGAAATTTGATAAAACAGTGATACGAAATAGTGCGCCATTTACTACTTTCAAATCATTACGCTGTTTACTAAACTAAGTTGACGTATTTATCATGAATTTTTGGGATGATTGCCAATATACCTAATTCCGAAACATTGTCTTTGATACATTTTTGCGTATTCAGCTTAAAACATCTAAATTTGTCCACCAACAAACATGCAAATCATAGAAATTTCTAATGTTTTGTTGAACGGCGACTTTGCGGCCGTTGGATTGCCATTTGCTGGATTTCCGCGGAGCTCCGCCTACTGTAAAATAGTGCTAGCATTGTGGGCAGTGGGTATTATCCTGAGTGTGGGAAGGGGCACTGCATGCAGTTTGGACATGGGTGTGTAAATGCTACTTTTACCGAAATCTGTTGTTTGTTTTTTTGCCCTTAATTTGCATTTTTGTGCAAATTGTTTTTGGCTTAAAATGGTCGTCTCCATCATGCTGACTGAGATATACCTCACGGGTGACCTCTTACTGGTCTCAAGAAGACAGACAGAAGATAGATCCGGCGATTTATTGTAGGAGATAAATACGAAAAACTCGAAAATACGAAGTACGTAGCTGAGTGCTGCGAAAAAATAAGCAGCAAGTTGAGCATTTATACCTTATAGCTGGGCTACCCGGCGATGCCCGGGATTTTTTGGGGGTTACTGCTTTTCTGCTATTTCATGCGTTGTTGCTATTGCTTGCGTTTCGGCATTTCATGCGATTGCCTGATTTTGAGCCTGACTATAGTTGAGCGCTGTTTGCTGTTCTAGGATTCGTCTTGACTTTTCTGCTGCAGTGTATAGTCGAGCGCTAGGATTGCTGTTATTGTTAACTTTTCTGCTGCGCTAGTATTTTTTGGGGGAAAATCTGGGCCAAATCCTATTTGACAACCCCAGGTTTAAAAACCCTAACCCTAACCCTAACCAAACTCACGACATGGGTGTGTAAACGCTACTTTGACCGAAATCTGTTGTTTGTTTTTTCGCTGTGGCTATATGCCCGGCAGCCGGGCACGGTCTTCGTTTTCCTAAATGCCCGGCACGTTCTTAACCCTAACTCTAACCTAACCCTAACAAAAACCCTACTCTAGCCCTAAACCTAACCCTAATCCTAACTCTACACCCTAACCCTTGTTTACTGAGATAACGGCTAAATTAAAAACTGCCGGGCATTTAGGAATCGAAGACCGTGCCGGCAGCCGTCAGATAATACGCCGGCTGCCGGGCATATAGCCCACTGACACTGTGTTGTTTTTTGCCTTAATTTGGCGTTTTTGTGCAAATTGTTTTGGCTTAAACATGGTCGTTGCCTCATGGTGATTGAGAATATACCTCACGGGTGACCTCTTACTGCGTCTCAAGAAGACAGACAGACGGATAGATCCGGCGATTTATTGTAGGAGATAAATACTGAAAAACTCGAAAATACGAAGTACCCGAGTGCCTGCCGCAAAAATAAGCAGCAAGTTGAGCATTTATACCTTCAGCAGTAGTCATGTACGACACGTTTGTCCTCCTCGAAGCTAAAATTTGTTTTATAGAACTACACAAATAGTCGACAATATAACAGCTAGAAAATACGCGGGTCAAATGCAAATTCAACATGCAGTTGATAGATGAGGTGAACGCGCATATAGCGCCACCTCGCGGACATTTTCTTAAATAATAAATAATTTTAATTGTAATTTTAAACTTTTTATTTGTGTATTTTATTTATTTTGACCTGCTTTAGGCATCGCGACATGCTGATTTAAGATATATATGGTGTTCGGTGGTGAGCACTCTTACGGGGGTGAAAAGATAGTCAGACGGACAGACACAAAAACAGGCTTGCCCTTTATATAAGAGTACTTGCCTTTCACTTCGAATTTGTGTCATAGATTCACAGCTAATCTATTTTATCTATCTATATAAAGATTTCAACATATGAGCATGGATCTCCAAGTTTAATTAGAGGGGGGGGCGGTCCTTCTCTCCACCTCCCTCCCACCTGCGTCCCACCTCCCTTCCCCTGCCTCCCACTTCACTCCTCTTGCCTCTCACTTCCCCCCCTTACCTCCCATCTCCCTCCCCCTGCCTT